GATACTGTATCGGTATCTGCGCCACGATACCGATACTGTACTCAGTATCTAGGCCTAAATGAGAGAAATTATAAACCAATACTTCTCCAGCAACTGCTGGGTAAAGTATTGGTTTTCTAATACTTTACTCAATACGGTATTGAAATCAACGATACCATCCCAAGGACCTGGAAGTGAAGTATTGGTCAGACCAATACTAAGTATCAAGATACTTATACTGCAAAAAAAGTTACTTTACCGTTACTTTACTGTAAACAGTAAAGTAACTGCGGCAGCGTTGATACCGACATGTTTGGCTACCTTAAGATTGCTATACAAAATATCCTGTCACATGGGCATAGATGGGCATCTTAAAAACATCTTTGTACTGAACATCACGCCAGCCGAGAAAAAGACATCAATGAGCAGTATGATGATCCGATGCCTTGGGACTCAAAGTTTCAATAGGCCACCAATCCTGATTTCTCCCAGCAACATGTTTTGCTACTTGTCGATCTGGAAAGCTACACCCAGATCGAGAGACCCGGTCCCGGTATGTAGGAATCCGCCCAGGATCATCAAAAAAAATCAGGGTTTTTGCATTTTTCTCCTCAACCAGCACTCCAAAAAACTCGAGGCTGGTATCATAAGATAGCCCTTCTTTGCCCGCACACAATGAGCTACTGTGCACCTCCATAAGTAGTGGATTGTTGTGTGCACGAGCAAATACCCGAAAAGTGCGTTTTGTTAGGAGGGTCTGTACGCGCTTTCCAGGGTCCTGTTGCCACACATGGTGGTATCCACTAGAAGATAGACATGTATGTTCCCAATTTCAAACAATGGACTCGACTCTGAGTACCGTAATTGTATCCCAGTTGGATACATGAATGTATGCAGGTTTAAAGGGCGCACAGGACGTCCCTTTCTTTAGTCCAAAGTAAGGCATGGACTGCCTCAGGACACCCGGAACAGTCCTGGTCCGGGCCCGGGCTCGAGCTTTAATGGCCCATTAAAAATGCTCTCGGGCCCCAGTGTAGTGTGCTCACGGGCCAGCCAAAAGGCCACAACCAAGGGATTATGGGGATGGAAAGTAGTCTTGAGATGCTCAGAAGGATGGGGAGAGTACGGATTATGGCAGAAAAGGGAGTTTTGGAGGCTATCATGGCCAATATGATCCTCCAAAATCACAATTTTGCCCGATGCTGAGCCACACAGACGATTTTCTTGTATTGCCGGGCCGGGCCGGGCTACCCCGAGCAAAATAGGGGCCCGAAACAGCCCATTTTTTGAAGGCCGAGTCGGGCCGGGTCCAAGCCTTAGTCCAAAGACTGTTATTTGTAGTGTAATAAGTTATGGCGGGCCACACCAAATTTCATGGATAACCACAAGTCCACTTCTTTCCCGGAGAGCGAGGAGGCAGGTTGGGGTTTTAGCTAAGGGAAAAAACCCCTGTAGGGTTTCGTTGTAATTTCATACATGAAACCTTTTGTCTCTATCATGTCAGGTGGTGAGCAAAATGGGTAAGACTTGCCTAGCGCATGTGGCGCAAGGTGAGGCTTACCCGCAACGGGCAAAGCCCTGAGCCCCAGAGGGTCCCTTGGTGTGAGAGCTACGAGAGTTTCCTGGGATGGAACACACTCGAGCCTCTCCAAGGGGCTGACCGTCAGACGTCTGACGGCCTGAGGCGCGATAGAGAGAGAGAGGGGAGGGAACTGATATCAAACCCATTCTAGGAGGGAAGATTTCGAGCTGAGCTCCTGTATAGGAGTTCCTTCCCCGCTCTCGAGGGCTTCGCGGCGGACAAAAAATTTTGCTCGACAGGCAATGAATTTCAGACATGAAAGGAGAAGCGGTGTAAGGCTCACGAGGCAAAGCAAACATCAATAACAAATGCGTTTCGCCAATGCCTTGGGTTCGCGAGACAGCTCGCGCGAATACGGTCTAATGTATAGCTTATAAGCGCCTGACTTCCATCGCCCTGTTCGTTTTGAACCTTTTGACACTGTCACCCCAGTGTGCTCGCAACGAGGCGCCACCTATTCGCAAACTGTGGCCTGACCAGGCCTGGCCATGGCGCCGACCTTGTTCGCGGATAAAACGCGAGACGCAAGAACGAGTTACAGGTATGCTGGGGTTTGGTCCTGGGAACAGCGGATCATCAGGCTCGGCCTCGTACAGTTGCAGGAGGAGCCGCAAGGCATTAACTGGATTGAGCCCATTGGGCTGGCGACGTAGGACCAAGTACTGGATTTCGCCGGGGGCGGCCGTCTTGGACAGACGCAGGGAGATGGTGGCCTTGGTGTCCCCATTGTGGAAGGTTACATCCCGCCGACGGATGAAGATAAATGGGCGGTCTGGGTTGAGTACCAACTCGCCCAAACGAGCGAGCCCCCAGAAGCCGGTGAACAGGACGGCGAGCATCACTAGGTCAATCCTGGCCACTGTTGACAGGGATTTGGACATGTCGTACAGACCCTTCAAGGTGAGCCCAGCTCATTTCTGTTTGGTGGCTGAAGGGTTTGGCTGGTGGGTTTTAGTCGCCGCAAGGAGCAGGAGGCGGATTCTGTCGACGTTCACCGGCGGGGATTTCACATTGTGAAGTAGGTGCCACATTCGGAGCCCCGTCAGGTATCGCTTGGTAGTCGTGCTAATGATTTTCTGATTCCCTTCCTTGACGCAGCACCAGAAGATAAAGTTATAGATCATGGTATTGGTTGCAGGGAAGAAGTAGACGACACTTTCTTCTGCAATGAATCGGAAAAACTTATTGACCGCTGCGGCGTACTGCTTGATTGTCGAGGCGGCCCACGCGTGGGCAAGGATATATTCACTACCCTCATCGAGAATCTTGACGGTCGCCGGCGAGGCCTTGTGGAGTGTTAAGCGTGCGGAATCTACAGTCATGATGTTGGTTTATGTGTCGAAGTTGTCTGGGTGATACGCGTCGAAGTTGTCTGGGTGATCAAGTCTTGCAAGTCTGGAGGGATATCAATTTTTACCAGGCTCTTTAAGGCTTTCGATGGAGGTAGGCCCCGTGACAAGGAGTCTGCCTCGTTGTCAGCGGACACTACCCTGACCAGGTTGATATTGCAGTCCAACCGGATCAGTTCCTTTTGTATCACCTTCCAAGCTTCGTTGACCCAGTAGTCGGCTGATTTACAATTCCTTGCCACGCCTTCCGTGGTCGTGTTATCAGTCAGGCATGAGAGTGACATGCCTGCCACGGGAAGGAGTTGCTCAGCCATCAGGAGGCCGAGGCAAACTGCCACGGTCTCTGCCCAGGCGATTGAGCGCCTTGGTTGGTTCGGGGGATCCCGCCAGCCTTCGAGCCACTTGAAGTGGGCCCAGCTTTTACCGATGATGATACCTATGCCGTAATCCGTCGTGGCGTCGCCTACCCAGCCGATGTTCCTCACACGGTAGTCTGGTAGGATTCGAGTGGGTTGAAGGTCAGCTAGACAGTCTTTCCAAACTAGCATGTCCTGTAAGACGTCATCTGGCGGTGTGCGTTTCCTCGACGTTTTCCAGGTGGCTTTCCACTTGTAGTTCGCGGTCATGTAGCACCTTAGTTGCGGTAGGATAAGGAAGAGGTGACAAAGCTTTCCATTGAATCTCTCCAACTCTTTTAAGGACCATTGTTTCTTTGTCCAAATCGCTTCAAGTTCTGACCTCCGTTGTTCGAGTTTCTCTACTGGCAAACGCACCGTTTTGTCCTTAGCGTTCCAGTAGAACCCAATAAACTTTTGCTCGTTTGCGAATTCTGAATACTTTGTGACGTTTGTCTTCACTTCTAGGTATTCGCTTTCTTTGACAATTTCCTCCATTGAGAGCTCATGGTCGAAATGTTTAATGAGCAAATTATCGTCGACCCATCGAAAAATCTTGATGAGGTCAAACTTTTTCTCCATGATGTTCTTCCAGCCATCTGCGGGTCCGCCGAAGGATCCGCAACCTGCTACACCTCCAAACGCGATCCTCACGTCGACGTAGATCATATTGTCAAAACCTTTGATCATCAGGTAGGGCCATTGTGATGGATGCGTCGGGATTTGCCTGTAGGCGCCTTCCCAGTCGAAAATTCCTAACAGGAAGTCGCCTTGCAGATTTCTGAAGAATTGAACTACCTTCTTGAAATCACCCCACGTGGTTTTGAAATCGTCTTTATTCACGAAAGAGTTAACAGAAGGGACGCCGTCTTCATGCCTAGGGTAAGATAGATTGTTTATCGGTCTATACGAGCCGTCGCCTTTAGGAACGGCTCCTAACGGGCTGGTTCTGAAGAAGCCGATTTTTTCGTAGACATGTTCTGGTGTAAAAGGTCCGAACATTCTTCCGGCACGAATTTCTTCGTTGATGTTCTTTTCAATTTTTTCTTTTACTTCTGCCGCTGATTTGTGGTTATCTGGTGTGTACCACTTAAGATTTCCTACCGTATGCTGTGGAATTCCTTGATGAAAACCGTACTTGAAACCTTTCAGTAAGTACCCGTATTCTTTTACCATCCCCAGATTTTCAAAACTTTCTTTCCAAGCCATCAAGTCCATTTCACATTTGACTGATGTTGGCCAGGGTTCGTTGAAGCTTGCAAGGTTTCCTGGCCTATTAGGCGGATCGTGAACTTCTTCCATGATTACATCGCCATGGTGATCAACTTGAGCATTTGACCTGTTTTCATCAATCGGTCTCGGTTGTTCAGCGGTCTCTGAGATGATATCGATGTCCATTTTGGGCAAATCGTCGATCATGGGATTCGTAGGATCATTTCTGCACGTTCAAGACATACTGTTAGTCTTCGTGAAGCTGACGAATTACTGTGGCGATGACAGTCGAATTCTCACGTTGGATTCCGCTTCTCATTGTGTTTGTTGCGCAAAAAGGTTTGCATTACTTCATTGTCAGGACATAGACATCTATGCACAAATACATGATAATGGGAAACAAAAAATGAAATTACATAAGGATCTAGGAATCATAACTGTGAGGAAGAGTATTGGTGGCTGAGGAAATTCTATCCGCAAGGCTCACTCCTTATCTCTGTTGCCTGCTGTCACATGGCCTTGGCCTTTTCCTTTATCGTTGCTAGAGAAATCTTGGTCTTCTTTCTGATAGGGTGATCTCGATCTTCTCCCCCAATAGGAATTGCCTCTGTTGCCTCTGTTTCTTTTGAAATGGTCATGATTCTCGCGAATGTCCTCTCTAGCGTTGTAATCGTGGTGATTTTCTTTGTTACGCCATTTGTTGGCCCTCTTCTTGCCTTTTGAATTGTTATCCTCTTCTACATCTTCATCGGCGTTGGGGTTGTCGTGGCTCTGTTCGCCTACGTACCACTTCCCGGTGATGGGACTTTTCTTCTCCCATTTTTGGCCTTTCGCGTAAGGAATGCCATGTCTCATTTCGAAGCCGTCTCTCAAGGTTTCGGTCTGATTCTTCGCGATTTCGACTTGTTCGGGTCGTGGCAAGGAAGGATCTTGAGGGCATCCGTCCACATGGTGGCCTACGACAATCTGTCTGACCGCCATATCATATCTGAAGGCGGTTAACCAGCAGTGTTGATCGTCTAACTTTTTCACGAACTGAAAATGGTCGCGCAGCCTGATTTCGTAATGTCAGTGCAATGTTGGACTCATGTCATGCTGAGATGACTTACGCCTCAGCAAACTCTTTGTGATCGTAGAATTGAGATTCCAGGTATTCAATCATCAGGTCGCCAGCCTTTATCCACTCGTAGCAGTCCAAGTACCACTCGCTCTTTGCCTGAAGACCTGTTGGTTCGAATTTCTTCTTTGTAGTGACCTTCATCGAAGCTGAATTATCTTTCGAAATCCATTCTTTGTTAAAAACCGTCAAAGGGATGTGATAATCTAAAGCTTTTAAATGTTCTCTCCAGAATGGGGTAAGTGGCATTACTGTGCTATCTGAACCGTTTCCCCTTTTAAATTTAACTGATCCCGAAGGTTTGAGGTTAGGCTTCTCTTGTAAGATGTCGTCGTCTTCTTTCACCAAGTCTAACACAGCCTTACTGTCTCCATTCAGGAGGGCTTTCTTTACTGATTGGTACCAATCTGGTCCTAGACCTAAGATGTCAAAGTGGCATTAAGTCAGGAACGTTGACGTACTACGTTCTTAAGATGAATGCATTATAAGATGGTAGGGAAAAAACTTCGTCGCGATGGACGGCATACTGGGATAGAGCTACTGTTTTGCAGTCTTCGTCTTGTACGACGGCATTAAGGAATGAGCTCTTCGTCGCTTTGAGGACGGCATGCAATGTTTTGGACCAAAATTCTTTGTCGCTAGGGGGGACGGCATGTTATGGACAGATTTACAAATCACGCTTACTTGGTTTGTTCGCTATCAAGTCGGTGCATTCGAAACTTGACGCCATTTTGTCTTCGTCTTCCTCTGAGTCGTCTGATCCTAAGTTGATTGTCTTCTTTACAGTTATCTTTGGGATAATGTAGTTTTTTGGAAGATGTTTCTTTGTGATGATTGTGGATTCGGTGGAAGATGGGGTGACCTCACTGTTAGGCAAAGCCAGGCTAGTATTCTTGAGGCTTTCTGTTGTGTTGGTTAATTCGGCCTCTTTGGTAAGATCGTTTTCACTTTCGTTGGCTGCAGATGAATCTTTGTTGATCGTCGTCCCTTGGCTAGACTCGGTGTTAGTGGACTTGGGGTCGAGCAGCTTGCTTGTCACGGTCTCGTTTGTGTTTTCAGTTTCTTCGTTGGTTGCTCCTCTTTCCGTGGATTTGGATGGTTTTCTGCTTTGTGCTTTGGATGTGTTCTTCTTGCGCTGTTGATTCGTGTCGGCTTCTGTGGATGACATCGTAATAGTTCGAAAGAAGTTTGAAAAAAGGGAGAGAGAGCCTCTCGAAGAAGAGCTAAGGAGATGAACGGGACAGCTAAGGAGGATTCTCACGGGGAGACGTGAAGCGGAGTCTTCTGAGTGAGGGATCCTCTGGATGCGCTGAGGGGGATGCGAGAGGAGAAGGGACAGAGACTTGTTCTTGGACGACCGTCAAGAAGCAAGATGCTCTGCCCTCTCTGCTTGTGCGTCAGGCACAACCCCTCTGTGTGGTGCCTTCCGGCAATGGGAGGAGGCTAGTAGCCGGCAGGCGGCTAGGGCTGTTCCCGTCCGTCTCCTGCTACGTGGACCGAGGTTATTCCTCGTGCCTCGTCAAAACCAACTATCCATCTCTTGCAGGATTGTTCACCCAGAGGGACAGCTTAGTGGTAAGATGATAAACCACATGGTTATCACACGCATAATGGATACCCGTCACAAATTCAATGGTCGATTCTGATTATATATGTTGAAGTCTTGTTTGCTTTTTAAGCTTTTTTTTGTCTTTCTGTGTAACTAAAGCCTGGAAATCCAACATCTCAATGTTTTCTTTTGCTTGATTGCTTCTTGTAATTATACATGTCTTCTTTTGGGTTGAGCTTTATCATTTATTTCATAGGCTCAGCAAGAATAAGATCTTCTTAGGATCGTTTGAAATTTTCATTTCATCAGCTCTGCCTGAAACCGATCCATGTTATATGAAAAGTTTGAGATCAACGTTGGTTGGGATATTGGGATAGTCTGACATATGACTCTTTTTGTGGTACTCTGAGGCTCAGCAAAATCTGAAACATGAAAGCCTAAAACAGCAACAGATCTTGAAGCTCCAAATTTGTGTGAGACCTTGAGAATTGGGTTTCATATATTGATGGTCACAGCCCCTTGCACCAATCTGAAACTTGCACTTTGATTTTGTGATCTGTATCATCTTGATGTGCTCTTTCAATTCTCATCAAAGGGCTGGGAAAGACACTGAGGTCTATCCAAATGCCGATCGATCAGCTCACAAATGTTCGGTCTCACCAAGACTCATTCAGCTCAATGTCAGCCTTCACGGATCTCTTCAGTTCAAGTTGGCCATTGAGTTGTTCACAGT